AAAAAATGGTATGAAATATAATTTACTACAAGAACAGCACTTCATTATTGTAAAATTGAAATTCTAATAAAATATACGGATCACTTTTATATCAAAGAGTATAATTGTATAACAGACGTTAATTGCTATAAAAAAACTGTAAAGCATTAACATCGCATTACCAGCTTATTATTGCTCGCTGCGTTCACTCGGTTTCAAACTTATAATTCGATTATAAGTCCAAGGTTTCCTTAAGCGGTTTTCTTTTGCGTCAGTGTCGTCGTAAAAAGTACCTACATATAGTAAAAAAGCATATAGCTAATAAAATTGGTAACTCGGCGAATCCACCACCCATCTAACTGTGGGAGAGCCAAGCTTCGCCACGAATAGGTTGCCTCGACCAGAGTGATACTACGGCCTCACAGAAAACCGGTGTGAAACAGCTACAGCATTGAGTTATGTTAACAGAGGCCCAATCCTTCCCCTTCCCCATTCCTTCGCAATCCGTAAATATCAGAAACCCTTATCCTTAAAAAGCCGAAAACGCACTCTTAAGTCCTTTGGTGTTGCGGCTGTCCATTGGCGGCGCCGATTGCCTAACATCAGGTAATGCGTCTGCTCGTTTGGCGACCTATTCCATAAAAACACAGACTGTCAATGAGTACCTCTCGTCTTTTCGTCCAATAGGGTATTAGCTTGCGTCACAACATTAGACACTCAATTTTTGATAGCATTTGCTAGAACGTACTGAACTTAAGCGAGATCAACGCAATCTGCTGAGCAAAAACGGTCGCTCACTTAGTGTCCATACGAACGAAACAAATCTGAATAATTCGCCAATAACCCCACAATAATGTTAACTAAAATAAATATCAGAACCATTACAAATGTTCTAAGTGTTCACCCGCTTGTACAAGCATGGACATATCATGTACAAGTACAACATGTAATATATACCAACACATAATTATGTATATCCAACAAAATCTAATGTATGCATATTCCTCGACTCAATTTACTTAAACTAAGTTAACAATGAGTTTAAGAGAATCTCTAGAAACCATTAACCTCTTTCCGAGATGGCTCCTAATATAAATTATGCTAAAACAATCGACAAATAGCGACCACGCAATAATTTATGGAACATGACGTTTACACATTAAAGAACTTGTCTTCAAACCGTTCCTAAATAAAATAGCTAAGCCGAATAAATTTGTACAATAAAGTTTGTACTATAGCGTTAACTGAAGCAGTGTTTTATTATTTGATGGAAGAATCTCGGTTCGTCTCGCGTAATACTAGTAAAACTATCTTGTAGCGACTTCGCCTGCGCCGCGGCCGCCGCAAGCGACATAGTCTGCCTAACTTCAGTAGTGTAACATGACAGTTATCCGAACTTTTAACTTAATCATTCATTACAGTACCTTGTTTTCTGTCATTCATTTTAAAGTTATAACGTGTTCCGCTCTTCGTTAATTTGAACTTTATCGCATTGAGAAAACCATTCGTAGTTTTGCTTGAAAAATATATTGAGATATAGAACATAAACCCCATGAGTGGTATAAAAAAATATGAAAATCCGTGCGTGATAAAACGTCGAGCAACGTGCCTGAAAGTAGATTATCTAGTAACAGTTAACTAAGTGATTTATCTGCGTGTCGCGTTCGCGCTGTCGCATACCAAATTTTGTGTAATCAAAACTATCCATCATGCAATCTAGACATTGTTCGGCAAATGCAATACGTCAGCCATATCCATTACAATAACCTATCTTTGTTCAAATTTTGTCCTTTGATTAAGTTAAAATGTTAAACTTATGTCCAATATCGACATAACTTGAGTATTTTTAAACAAAGTGGTTGGTTAACATACTTTAGATTTGGAAGATCTATCTTGGTATAGGACATATTAAACAAAATGTCATATGGAAGTCAGTTAAAAAGGAGTGTATCATATGCAATTTATTTGTCCAATAATATATGACTTGACTTGACGTCATTTTCCTTTAATATTACCTACGATTTGGAGGTTGGCGCTATATAGGTTGTAAATCACGTAGATACAACCTGTTTTAATAGAATACTTACGACCATAACAATAAAATACATAATCCTATTCAAACTAACTCTTCATTCATTGTTAGGGTAGCTGAAATCACCTTATTCTAGTCACATAAAATGTTTAGACATCAAAACTGAATTCAATGATCTATCTTACAAATCACCATCGCGCTGCAAACTAGTAAATGAAGCTGTATTTTTCCTCGTTTATCTTTATTAAAGTTCACAACGATCCAGACCTTGGACACTATTATAGTATTGATAGAAATGGCAATGATTATTATCTTTCATATGAGAAGGAGCAAATGAGTGATGACAGCGCCGCTCATACACACTCGCTTCTTCAAAGAATAACGTCAAGTGCGTTGAAATAGATCTTTAAAAGCAATTCTTTCTTTTCTCGAATGTTTGAATATCGTATCGGTTCAGAAATACCGCATGCGACGTCTCATTCCACAATTTTATTGAGTGGCGGAAAGTTTCGCAAACAAAAAACGCACAGTAACGTCAACCATCTAAGTAGTGGTAGTAGTCAACTGCAGTATAATGCATTTATTTTATTTTATACTAGAATTAGATATGTGATTATTTTCGACTTCCTAATATGTATACAGTAATGTGTTTGCTTCCTTTCTAATCATCATTTCTAGTTTAAAGGATTATATCATATTATATATGGTCGAAGGGGAGGGGGGGCGACGTGGTGAGGTTACCTATAAGAAACTACTCCGTTTGTACTCCTTCTCCGAGCCAAAGCAGTGGTAACGGCCAGCTGCTTGCAAAGGCTGCTCGGCAAAGGTCTATAACTGACGGTATGGTTTGATAAAGAGACTAGGTGTTCTCGCACGGTTTCACCCGCTGCTCTGCTCCTACAGATCGTAGCGTTTAGCGTTTTATAGCCGTCTATGGGTGATCCTATAATTTGCACACCTAAGAATTCTATTTCAAAGAATATTTAGGGAACAGAATGTCAGTTTCACTGACGGTAGGGGGCTTTGTTAGGTCAAAATAAAATGGCCTCATTGAAACATCTCTCATCTCATTTACAATATTTACAATAAACAAAAATGTAGGTTATTGTTTTTGCTTGCAAATAACATTGAATGCAATATTGCATTCACGAATAGTGAATACTTCCGAAAATGTAGTCCTCTGACGTTGTCAAAACTAAACTTCCACTCGTTATGAGTATAGCGTGAAGTCGCGCGTTTATGTCGAGGGATTACTAAATACCAAAATATCATATAAATAGGAAATTCAAAATATAATATGGAAGTACTGCAACATTCGCGTAATTGATATTCCTAGAAGTGCAATAAATACATTTTCCTCTGTGTCCTCCAAATGCCATGGTTTTTACGTATAATGACCGACTTTACCCACAAAGGGATAATATAATTGACGTATTGCAACACGAGATGGCGACTGTCAAAAGCAGCGTGAAGATCGATGTCCACGAATCGGTTTTATAGCTATAAATACGTATGCATAATGCATAGTAAGTAGGAATGATGATGGAGTCGTCTGCTTGCAATATTGAAGTTAGATACAGCAATCATGGCACAGAACAGCTTCCGTCACACGTCAGCGCCGCGGCTGCTTTCAGATACTTTGAAATAGATCGAGGACGGCACCTCGGATAACATCATGCTGTCACATGAGCTTTATTAACACCATTAACTTTGCGAGCCAGGCAATATTATATACATATGTGTCTGTCTATACACCACTCCTATTAAAGCGGATTTTCACAACGTCTCAGGATTAAAAGCTTAAGTTCTAACTGATTTTAATCTGGAAGAAAAGACGATCTGGATTAAATCGATCACCTTCTTCGAACGGATTAATACTTTATTGTTTATTGTTTATCGAAACTTCTACATCATAAACATTCCAAAAGATGAGCTAAATTGGTATAATGTTCATATGCATGAACTTAGGTCTGCTTTGTTTTAGACAGTGAATATTAATTAAGATCGAATGAATACTAATTAGAGCATGATCGGGACGGCAGCCATGTCACGTAGGATAATCTGCCAATCATCCTTTGTAGCGGGCAACCCAACCACGGTGCGTGGATCCAGCGCAGCGCAGATTGGGAATTTCAAATGTCCTGTGTTATATGCACTAATCGTGTGTTCATTCATACAGGTCGCAGATCAGTTACAATATTATTTATTTAAAAAGAGCTTTCCGCTGGCGATAGAAGGACAATACACCTACATATAAAGAATGCGTGGTACTTGAGTAATGTAATTAGTATAACGAATATACTTCCTTAAACTAGTAAATTATTACCCAGTGCACGTCTGTAGTTACATCCTTCTCGAGTTGCATAATTGAAGTGACGCGAGCAATGTCAAAAGTTAAAAAAGTTATGAATGTAAATATTTTACTCGTTTGCATTCGAAGAGAAAGAGGATGTATTTCCCAACTATTTGCGAAACCAATAGTCGGGATTGTATCAGTCAAATAAGTGTATCCGACTGGTCCCCATAGTTGACCGGATGCGCTGTTGATATTTTCCATTCTATACTGTTCGTGCAGGAAATCAGACAAATACGAGCTACATTGTTCACGTTCGTGTAACATGAGAGAAAACATATGGAAATGACAAGCATATATGTCCTGTTAACGGAGCATTATTATTTTCAATACATTAAGCACTATTTTACATGTCATCATAGTTGCACGCCAGTTTGTGATGACATTGTGATAGTAGTGTCTCATCTGCATGGGTACAATAAGTATTGACTCATTTCTACGCTGCAGGAACAGCCTTTTAACCTTTGTCTGAGTCATTCGTTACGTGGATGATGTATGTAATTACTTACTATTCTTGTATATGTAGCCACTATCTATTGCTGACACGAATATTAGTAATAATCTTCTTTCTCCGTTAACATATTGAAAAATTGCTTTAGGAACATGATCTTAATGTTTTGTTTCCATTTGTTACAGGAATCAGTTACCCTGCCAGTATGGAGCACTTCAAATCTTCACTCAGTCACACTGTGAAGAGTCGAGACGAGGCAAGTATCGCACGGAGTAAATCCGTATATTATATCACACCTTGATTGCACCACTGTTCTGCGGGGAAATGAAATTTTCCCCCCAGGGACGTACCACTTACCGTCGCTAAGAAAGATGAAGATTCAATTGGAAGGAAATGTGTGAACAATATGGCGAATATAAATAAAATTAAATGAAACTTATACGAGCTTTAATCTATACATATATATTAGACACGCCAAGGCGCGGTCTATATCAGTAAGCATACAAACTCGGTTTTTGTGCAACCTGAGTATCAAATATTGAAGTCTTCGCTTCCTCTAACTGAACGTGTAAACTTGTAGACTTGAAACTTCACAACTTGGAATAAACCCTTTTTCCTCATGATTTAATAAAAGACAAAGTTGACGGAAAGGGAATACTAAAATAGGTTAGTGTTATGGCGGTACCTGTGCGTAGATATTATTGAAAGAAATTTACTAACATGCTGCTAAGTCAGCGTGCCTTTAGTGCGCAAAATATTTAACATGTTGAGAATTTTTTGGATATACATAGATCGGCAAACGAGCAGGGGATCACTTTTTAGGGCCAAGGGTTTGAGATATTTAAGGATAGGAGGGGATTTGGCCTCCGGTAACCTCACTCACACGGCGATACACAGCGCTGTTGTTGTTTCACGCTGGTTTTCTTTAAGGCCGTGGTATCACTCCGGTCGAGTCGACCCATTCGCGCCGAAGCTTGGCTCTCTCACACTTGATTACGTGGACTAATATTACGATGTAGAGTTGTAGAAGAGGAATTATACTATATTTACTGTCTCCAGATTACCTTGGGGAAATCTAAAAACGATCGGTCTTTGAATTGAATGTATAAAGGGGAGTACACATTATGTTTGCAAATGAGTGCAGAGACAGGCCAATACCAATGTCGGATTATATAAATATTCGTCTCTTAACTAATAAGTTCCCGTAGCATCGATGGAGTGGACATTTGCATTTTCAACCTTAATGTTTACAACATAAATATTGTATCTGTAAGCACTCTTCTATAATGAATAGGCACTTGGTTAATATAAGATTGTGTATTTTCAATTACGTAATTGTTATTACAGTACATAAGCAATGAGCTACATGCGATATGTTCTTAAACAAAAATATGGTAGTATACTCAAACATGTCACTGAAAAACACTAAAATAATGATTTTTAAAAACTATAAAGTTTTAAATTGACAAAACAAAATTTCTTGAGCAAGATTTATTTTAAACAATGTTGATTCAATAGATTTCGGTATTTTTTGTTAATTTTGGGACCTAAACATTGTATATATTTATATTATGCTTTTGTACAACAATGCAGCCTTAGAAGGATTCATTCAAATGTATTTATTACGTCGATTTCTTACATGTCATTCAGTCAGTCGCGGCAGCAAGTGTAGGTTGTAACTTGTAACTTACAAATAATGTAAATTCAATAATATAAATTAATGCAACTTTACTCAAAAAGGCCGTAATATAAGTAAACTGTCGGAGAGGATCTATATTGTAAAGAGCATTATGCTGACTAAATGACATTAATATATTTTTCCAATTTTAATTACTTATCAATATTGTCAATAAGTCGTGTTGTGTTTTTCTTGTACTCTAACAAATATATTTAAGTAGGTACATAGGTAAATCTAAAATGTTTTTAGTGAAATTGTAACGTATGTTTTATTTGACAGCCAACTCCGGATCAATGTCCTGCATTGAAGGAAAGTGAAGCGGATATCGACACCGTGGCAATATACCCGACTTTTGAGTTTCAGGTACGTACATACCTACATACTTTTTGTTAGTGTGTCTAACCTAACCAGACGTCAGTACTCACCGTGCATATTTTATTAAACTCCGTTACATAAAGTGAACCGGCTTTTCCTGGAAGATACTCTTGTATCATAAATGTGAAAGCTTTTAACAAAATATGTACCTACATCCACATATGTTTGTTATTCTCTTGTAAAACTATTAAACCTAATATTTAAATTTGACGTAGATAAGACACATAGATTAAGTACTTATTATCCTGAGAACTCGGGCAAAACTACTCATAGAAACTAACATCAAATAAACATGTCATTATAACAGCTATAACAGTTGATTAGACCTGAAATGACAGGGAGGGACGTATAAATTTTAGAGTCAACAAACTAAAAAAAAAACAACCAACAACAAGTTTTAAAAAAGAAACTTACTTAATTTTTTTAAACAAATGCTATTATTACTCCGAGTCTTTGTATTTAGCTGTTTGTGTCATAACTGCATCAATTTTTGCATGACAACATGGTCGAATGCACAAAGATACCTTATAAATGTTTAAATATCTTTACGACTGTTGCGCGTCGATACATGGGTCGTCTGTACCGAACGCGGGGCGCGCGCCTCCCGCCCACAGCTGTATGTAGCACACGCACCCTTCATACTGTACCTACAACCTACATACTTCAATCTCACGTATTGCTAATTATTCCCCACTCTCTTTCTACACTCGTTATAATTCAACAATATCTTCTTCCTACTTCTCCCATTTAATTGTGCAAAGTGACAGGAGCCATTGTCGACAATTCAAACAATTTAATGAACTGAACACTACAAAACAAACGTTATTGGACAATACGCAATGGTATGTTACCGATTATTTCGTCGTTAATATATTACTGTTGCGGTCACAAACAAACCGAATGAGAATTTAAACAGTAATTTTGTTACTCAGTTTATTCCTGAATTCTGCGAAATATTTGATTGTGTTATTTTATTGCATTGGATAAACCAACAATCGCTCAATAAATGTTTATTTTATCAAAATAATGAGTCTTAAATACTCTATAAATTATATACAAGTAATATTATGTATTTTTCTGTACTATCCGGAATATGGCGGTCAATCAGCCGCAACCATATTTCTCTAACATTCCGGAGACTCGGAAATGGTACAACTCACAGAAGACCGACGTGAAACAACCACAGCGTTGTGTTTCGCCGTGTGAGTGAGGTTACCGGAGGCCCAATCCTTCCCCGCCCCCAATCCCTCCTCAATCCCTAAATCTCCAAATCCCTAATCCCTAAAAGGTCGGCAACGCACTCGTAACTCCATCGTTGCGGGTGTCCATGGGCGGCGCTGATTGCTTACCATCAGGTAATCCGTCTGCTCGTTTGCCGACCAATTACATAAAAAAAAAAAAAAAAACTGCTACAACATACTCATTTGACATCATTTAAATGGTAAATGTGAATGCATGTTGTGTGCTCGTTAATTCATGAGCAGACCAACATCAAAAGAGGCTTTCGGTGGCCTGAATGCGTGAACGTACGGTTACAGTGCAAATAATTAATTATTGCGGTCATATTCAGCGTCGCGCTCCGATTGCCTGCTGAAACTCCCCTTTAGGTGGCGTCTTCTGAAAGTCTATCGCACCGCCAAACTCTGTCTTTGATCAATTGCCCTTATAAGTTAACGTTCAAACTGCTCGCTGGCTCCAAACTTTTTGTACGTGCAGACTTATTTGAATCGCTAGGTGTTGCGGCTTTATAAAGGTAGACGGTATTATTTTAAGGAACGATATGCGACAGTAATGACAATAATTTGCACTAACGTTGTTTTGTTAGCCTGAGAGCAAACATTTCAAAAAAATTAAGGTCCGGAACAAAAGTAATAAAATTATTTAATTGTGTAATTTTATTTGTGTATTTGGTTACGCCAAAAATACCATTACAGATGTGTAGATACATGTATGTATTATGTATGATTGTGTATTACTAAGTTGATGTCCGTCCTATTAGTTTCAGCATATATTGATAAAGATGTTTTTCTTTGTCTGTATATGTACCTATAACTTTTGAATTGCTTTATTTAAACTGTACCAACTCCATATAAAATAACTTGGTTCAAAAAATAAATCGAACTTAATAATTATATATGTAAATTGCAACACATACAGCTTAATACAGCTACTTACCTAGCCTATGTACTGAACTATGTACCCTTATTTTGACTTTCACTTGGCAGACTGTACAATAAAATAACGTAACTAAGAAGAGAAACTCGAAAGCAATCTCGAAGGTATAAAGGTTTACAACAACCCTTAATGCCATTAATTAGGTATCGAGAGGAAATTCGATCTGGATAATGTTGATAAAAAACGTCCATTTTAGGGTTCCGTAGTCAATTACAGCAGACCGAGCCCTCATGGGTTCGTAATTTCTAGTCGATGGCATACCGCTGGTTTTTCCAAAAGTATAGAACTGTATTGTTGAACCTCGATAGAAAAATATATTCGAACCGCATTAACATTTTCACACAACAATAGGAGAAAAAGCAATAAATATTGGAAGTCACATTTTTTTGTTGTCTAACTATTAAAAATGAAATATCCTGATATTTAAACAAAATAATCTATGAAATGATAAACAAACTTCCACGAAAAAATTGTTATAAATTGTAAACAGGAATGAATATTTTATACAATCAATAAAAAATAATAAACAATACTCGATGAAAGTTACAGCAAACTACGGGAACTTTTATAGTATGTTACTGCTATGGAACCCTTCACGGCAGAGTCCGAGTCGCACTTTAAAAACATTATAACGAAAGGGATTAATTCTATCAGTAGATGTTTCTACTTGTTTAGGGAAAGGGGTCTGTCGCTTAGCAACCGCGTCGCCGTTGCCATCATTTTGATTTTGATATTTTTCTCTTTAATTTCAGTAGCAATTTTTTTACCACGTTAAATTAAATTACACCTATACTCAAAGTACACAGTAGTACCTACATATGCACCCATTAATGGCTTCCACATGTTCTGGCTAGCCACTATGTACAGAACACAGAAGATAGAACATCAGTTATCAGCTAGCGTTACATAAGAGCGGTCAAACCAGCTCCCAATTTTCTTTGTGCAACGGTTAAAACAAACACAGCTACTACTTCTACTGAAAATTTCAACGAAGCCTTTGCTGTCGGCTGTTCCCATCAGAAACACGAAAACTATTTTGCATATGAATACGATTTTATCCACAGCCCCGCACGAGATACGCCGCCATTTTAAGACTTTATTATCTTTTGTTTTTCTATTCGCTGTCCATTAACAACAACACGCTGACATAATATCTTTTTAAATGATGCCGGCGGCCGATACTTGAGGAAAATAATCTTTTTTTACTTTCCTTTTTTTAACTATGTACATACCCCGTTTTGTTGACCAGTCTTGTTGAAGCTGTAGTCTTCAATAGATGTACGCACTCTTTCCTTTAAAAAACTTTTCACTGCTAGTAGTATGGACTCAAACTTATTATAACTGTTTGTAGCAAAAACCTGGCTTATAATTCTCTAAAACTGACCATCGCATAGTTATTGAGCCCTGATAAAGTCCGGAACGTTCGCTTCTAACCAAGCCAAGTGTTGGTGGCTGGGACCAATTTTGGTTATTGAACATGATGTTGTTAAGGATCTTAACCACCTTCTTGAGAATTGTAACTTGATTTGCATTATTATCTGCAAGTCCATAGTCATCTTTTAAAACCCTAGACATAGTTTTAAAATGTAAATGCTATCTTCAAGTCCGTACATATACATTTTACTTTTGGCCAGTTTTCGTTTTTGGCGAATTTTTCCCTTCCTGCTTTGTTCGCCTTTTCCATATGCACGTGGATAGCCCCTGACCAACGAAAAAAGATGATAGGGCGTACAGCCTGATTTTTTTCTTTCACAAACGGAGAACGTTTTATTGTGACTATCCATAGCTCGGGACAAACATTTTACTAATATCAAGCGGTGGCTTTATAAATTTAGGAAGAAAGAAAAAACATCATACGAATAGAAATGAAAAAAGATTCTAAATTCAGAATACATTTTTCTAAGAACTACATAGTTGATATGAATTTCATTCCATTTTCATGTTATAGCACATATCTTGTATATAGCACAGATTAATAAACTAGTCTGTTTAGAGTTTTTAGGCCAGATTAGCACTACGCATAATACGGTTACGTTTCCTTTTAATATATTTCCTTAAATAATAATTTAAGAAGTTAACGGAAGCCATGACAGGTGTTGTACCTACGCAACAATAGTTACCTATATTTTCAATTTTATTAGGTATTTCCACTCTTTGTTATAATATGCTTTTTCTAACTACTATTCCTGTGTAGTCACAGACGGCAAAAGTTAGGTAGTTGTGTCATCTACCTACACACATATTAATAGGCTTTTTTTTATTTTATTAACGAGACAAGGTACACAGGTTCAATTAAGGTCAAAATCAATAACAGATCTTAATACATGTAAACTACTTATACATTCTTTTCATCGTCCAGAAATTACGTGACACCGATGAACATACTCGTATGAAACGTTTATAACTTGCAAAGTAAAATTCTTTATTCACGTAGCTGAAACTTGATTTCCAGTTAACTAACAAAACTAGGCTAGCTGCACTACAGTTAACTTAATGATGCTTTCTGCATGTTCGATAATTTCCTTATCGACCAACTACGTAATCTATTATTCACCAATGAAGCTAGCCTCGTTTGTCATTTTATGTACTACCATCTAAATCTATTATGCAAGCTGATTTGGTGCATTTGCTGTATCTACCCACGGTTTTACTTCATCATAAATTTATTTAATAATCCTCCATACATTTACCTACATTGTTCCATTTATTTAGTCTTTCTTAGAAGGTACGCTTTTGTAACAGAGTGTAGGTATCAAACATTCGTCGTAGGCGGCACTGTTATGGAACTATTAGACTAATTAATGTATTTATAT